TCTTTCTTTCTTTCTTTCTTTCTTTCTTTCTTTCTTTCTTTCTTTCTTTCTTTCTTTCTTTCAGACAAGACATAGTAATGTTGCCCAGGGAAGTCTAGACTTGTGAACCCAACTGATCTTCCTGCCTCAGTCTTTCCACTCTCTGGAACTATATGCAAATACCACTGTGCCTAGCTAAATAAAGCCTATACTTTTTTTTTTTTTTTTTTTTTTTGCGGAACCGAGGATTGAACTCAGGCCCTTGCACTTGCCAGGCAAGCACTTATTCTACTTGAGCTATTTCTCTGGTCCCTAAAGCTTATACTTTAAAACTCTACAAGGCTGGGTGTGGGGGTGCATGCCTTATAATCTGAGGGGCTGAGGCTCAGACTTGAGAAGCTGAGGCAGGAGAATCACCACAAGTCTGAGACCAGCCTAGGCTACATAAGCAAGTACAAGGCTCACCTACACTACATGAGACCCTGTCTCAAAAACAAAAGAAAACCTCAGGAAGTATGTACCTCGGTTCCAAAAAACAAAAAAAAGAAAAACAAAAACAAAAAATTGAAGGAAGTGTGTGGTGTTAAAATTTTGATTTTATTTGTTTGATCATCTCTCTCTCTCTCTCTCTCTCTCTCTATATATATATATATATATTTTTTTTTTTTTTTTTTTTTTTTTCCCCCGAACTGGAGATTGAACTCAGGCCCTTGCGCTTGCCAGGGAAGCGCATATTCCACTGAGCCTTCTCCCTGGCCCCTTATATATTTTTTTGGTACCAGGATCGAACTCAGGATCTTGTGCTTGCCAGGTAGGTGGTTATGCTGCTGAGCTATCTTCCTGGCCCTATATTTGTGGTACTGAAGAAAGGATTGAATCTATGGCCTTAGTATTAAGGTACATCTCTCATCCTATTTGACAGATCTTGCTATGTAGTTGCAATGGTCTTGCTATGGCCTCAGACTCACTATGTAGCATAGGCTGGCCCTGAACTTGGGGCAGTCTGTCTCAGCCTTCTGAGTGCTGGGATTACAGGCATGTGCTACCACACTTGGCCTCCCAATCCTTTAAAATATTTATATATATATATATATATATTTTTTTTTTTTTTTCACTTTTGACACAGGGTCTTGCCAAGTCATTGCCCACACTGAACTTGAACTTGCAATTCTCCTGCCTCAGCCTCTCAGAAAGCAGGGCTTACAGGTGTGTGCCACCACATATGTCTATCTTTTATATTTTATTTTATTTTTTTGGCAGAACAGGGATTGAACTCAGACCCTTGCGCTTGCTGGGCAAGTGCTTATTCTACTAAGTCATCTCCCCAGCCCCAATCTTTTCTATTTTATAGATGAATTAATTCATTTTCAATAGATGAAGTGCTGGGGAGATAGCTCAGTAGAATAAGCACTTGCCTGGCAAGCTCAAGGGCCTGAGTTCAATTCCCCATTCTGTTAGAGAGAGAGAGAAAGAGAGAGAGAGAGAGAGAGAGAGAGAGAGAGAGAAAAAAAACTTCCCAGAGTTACATAGCAAGTACCTGGCAAATAAAACAATGTAGAGTTCCAGGATAGGAATCACACTCCTGGATTGTGTCCCAGTCTCAGGGTCTTAGTTACATTGCTACATTACTATTACTTCTTTCTCTAACTCCTAATCATGGCAGGCCTACACAGCTCCAGCTGTCAAGGAGCCAACACTATAAAATCAGCTGAGGATACCACCAGCTTTGCCTTATAGGAGTGCTGGGAGAATTAATAAGCTAATGGCACTTGGTATGCTTCAGCAGAGGCCCTGAATAAACTCAAGGCACTTAAGTGTGAAACGCACTGTCAAGGGTAGTTCATGCTTAATAAGATGTCTTTAGCCCAGTTTCTGATCTATTTTGAAGTATGGAGGAAGTAGAACCATATTACCTTACAACCCTCTTTGGGAACCATTTGGACGTCACAGACTACCAGTGATGGCAAGCCTTTAAGAGCTTTCAGTGATAACAAACAGCTGACAGGGGCATGCATGCCATAGGTTTGCCATCACTGGGCTAGGGCATTTCTGATGGCCTTGGGGTAAGGGAGGGTGGTGGTGCTGCCAGGGTTTCCAGCCTTTCATTCGCAGAAGCAAGTGTTCCTTTGGCATTTCAGAAGGGTTTCCAGCTTACTTTCAGGGACACCAGTTATTGACAGGAGCTGGACTAATGTCATGGTCAATTGAGCTCTGGAAGCAGACAAAACCTGGGCAGGATCCTGTCATTTCATGTCTCTGAGCCTCCATTCCTTTTTAAAATGGGGTAATAATACCTTCCTCACATGGTTATTTTGAAGCATAAACTTGATAATATATTTAACAACACCTTGCTTAGGGCTTGGAATAGAGATGTTCAACAAATGGCCATAATTATAGCCATTATTGTTATTCCTATGTTGTTATATTATTTGCTGATATTTTAGGGCCATGCCATGAGCCAGATGGAAGCAAGATTCACTCATTTGTTCAACAGTTTACTAGATTACCCTAAGGAGGCCAGTCTATGGAGGATCCTGAAAACAGGCATTTACAATGCCTATTTAATGCTGTAAGTGTTATGGTAAGAAATTACATAGGTGTTTTGAGGCTTTAAAGGGAGAATCAGTTAATGGACCATACGGCAAAAGTTTTTCAGAGGAGGTAGTTCTCCACTTCCAGACTGCTTCCAGAAAGTGGAAAATGCTACTTGCGGGAGGCAGATTACAATGCACACGGCAGCTGAATCTGTGTTGTTCACCCAAGAGGTTGACTCTGGGCCGGGGAGATAGCTCAGTAGAATAAGCCCTGCCTGGCAAGTGCAGGGTCCTGAGTTCAATCCCCCGTACTGCAAAAGAAAAAAAAAAAAAAAAGGTTGACTCTGATCTGCCTGTTGCCTTCTTCAACTCCCACACAGCTCTGTCAGATGCCAGCCAGCCTTGCCCTAGAAAACCCCCTCTGGGGCACCTGCTGGTGGTAAACAGCCCAAGTTCTGTGCTGTGGCTCCATGTGGCTGAGTCATAAGACCTTTCTTTCAGCGGTAAGCTCTACTGGAAGCCTCTGGTTGGGAGGGAGGCCCCAGGTCAACCTCGTGGGAAAAGGTTAATGGTGACTGACCACTGCTTTTCCACATTAGTCCAGGATGAACCCGCAGTGGAAAGGTGGGAAAAGGGCAGCCCAAGGGGCATCTTCATTTCTTTGTAGTGCCTGGTCTGGGTAGGTGATGTTAACCAGGGTGGAATGAGAGGACAATCCTTGCTGGCCCCAAATCTCATGCAGGAACCTCCCCACTTCCTCCCAAGCCAGCCTCCAAGGTCTCTTCTGGTTGCCTTCGGGCAGTGGCTTCACTAGTGACCACATTTTCCAAACCAAAACTCGGGATGCTCCATCTAGCAAATTTCTGGCCAGCTTCCAAATGCAAGAGACAAAAACCTTTCCCCTGGGATAATGAGCACCGTTAAAGGGGACATCCAGGCGGAAACCTTGAAATTCAAGGTCCTCTCTTCAGGTATTTCTTTCATACATTATATTATTGATACATGAAAAAAGCCCGCGAAGTAGCTATTATTTCTATTTTATAGAAGAGAATACTTAGAAAGGAAATCATTTGTCCAACTTCGTACTTCCTGAAGTCTGAATTTTGGCCTGTCAGGGCGGGTCTTGCGCCTGGGAGTATGCCGCGAGGGAGGAGGTAGGGAGCGGCACCAAACCGTCCTTCGCAGAGATGCACAAGCCATTTTAGGCCGCTGGGAAAGGCAGCCAAGAGCTCAGCTGCTCAGTTTCCACTTGTGAGTTGGAAATCCCCAAGCACAGGACCGGGTCGCCGCCCCATCCCAGCAGCAGCTGGCCGCAGGCCGCACCGCCCGGGAGCCGGAATCAGCCAGACGACCTTGCGGGTCACCCCGCGGCCGCGCGCCCTTGCCCCAGCCCAGGTGCGGGCGGGCGCGGTGCTGCAAGGTCGGGCAACTCCCGGGGTCACTCTGGGCACCCCCTCCCGGTCACATGGACGCGCCTTCCGTCTCCACCAGCGCGGAGCAGAACGCACCACCCGAAGGAGGTGCCGAGGGCAGTGGGTCAGCGCCCGCGGGGCAAGTGGGCGGGCCGAGCGCTCCCGAGCCGCGGGCAGCCAGTCAGAGGCGCCGAGGGCGGGCGGGC